TTGAAAATTTTTTAGCTTTTAAAAATAGAAAAGGTTGTAAAAAATTTATTAATAAGAAAATATGTCAATTAACTATTAAAGCAAAATTAGTTGACAGAGATAAAAATTTGAAATTTCGTCAAATTTAATAAGTATTTAAAATGGTACAAGTATTTATCTGCAAATTGAGAATTAATTGTTGAATTGTAATGATAAGTTTTGATTACATGAATAATCAATTCTTTTAATTTCATGTAATAACAATTATTCAGTAGACTGTCAAGATAAATTGTAATAAGCCCGCAATGAATTATTAAATATTTAAGCGAAGGTGGAAGAAATTATTTTGATAGAATCGAAGATTCAGAAATAATAGATTTGCTATATAGAAACTTAATGCTTAAGTGTTTTATGTGTAATTTTGAATTAAATCTTTAAATATCTGATCATAAGGAGCTGGACGATAGTTATGAAGTGTAAGATGGGTAATATTAGGGCAGTTTTCTATCATATAAAGCATCATTTCCTGTATCAATACTTCTAAGGTTAATTCTTTTAGGTATAGCATTTAATATTCATAAAAAGGCTTCTAATATATAATTTTTTCAAATTATTAAGTTCAATGTATAATCTTACAAGCCCAGAATAGTTCAAAATCACCAGATTTTCCAAATTTTTGCATTTAGCAAGTGAATTCAATGATGATTCTGAGATGTTAACACACACAAGTTTGATAAATATTAATGAATTAGCATGAGATGGCAATGCTTTGATTATTTCTTCTATTCAGTTATCTATACCCCTGTAGCTAAATTCTTTTAATTGTTTCTGCGTATTTATAATCGAAATAATAGAATCTTTAATTTTGGGGTTATTTTCAAATGCAGAGACTTAAACGATTAGATTACTTATTTTATTATATAATTTTGATATTTTTTCCAAGAAATTTATAAAGTTTATCGATATGCATTGAGCTGCGTATCCAATTTCAAGCTTTGAAATATTTAAAAATTGCTCAATTGTGTGTTGAAGATCTAGAGCAAAATTTAAAATCTTGTCACTATCAATTGTTAAAAATTTTAAATTTGTACTTTAATAAATAATTTAATTGACGATTCTCCAGTCAACTGAAGAATGATCATAGTGAAACGTGACACAGTTCTATATATAA